ATGTTGTTAATGGGTCTCTTCTTGTCTGTGGGCTGGGTCAGGCCACAGCTATGGCGTTTAAAGCGTGCCACAACCCGTGCACGCGCATTGGGTCCACAGCGCGCGTGTGAACGGGACTCGCGAGCGGAAATATACATGGCGAGAGGTCATTTGTGCACTGAGAGGGAGCAAACTGTGTCTGTGAGCGCACAAGGATGTGCACAAGTGACAAACCTGCGTGCGCGCGTTGTCAACGAGCACACGGCAGAGGAAAACGTGCGCGCGCGGCAGCCTCTGTGCGCGCTCGGCAGCCTCTCTGCGCGCTCGGTTTCTGACTCCTGCTCGCTCGGCTGTAAGGGTTTTGGCACTCTGGAGGCGTGGCCTGTGGCAGATCTCCTCTTTCCTCTGATTGGTTAGTGTACCCCGCACTTTACCCTCTACCTATCTATATAAAAAAGTCTACTAGTCAAGTAGTTGCTGGCATAGCTCAGTTGGAAGAGCGGGTGACTCTCGCCCCGGAGGATCCGGGTTCGAGGCCGGGCAAGGAAAATGCAGTAGATGTCATGTTGATTTTTCTTAATTTCAGGTATTTTACAGTTGTGACCGTTCAACTGTCATTAAACGTCCGAATGTTTGCTGGGCAGTGTTTTAAAAAGTGCACATAAGCTAGATGGTTTTAACCATATAAAATTACATTTTTTGTGATACTGGAAAAATACATACTGAAATAAAACTACTGATTGAAAACTTTATGACTGTGGTTGTACAATATATGACTCACTAATACACTGCAAACTCCCTTAGAGTGGGGCTTCCAGAGAGAGAGAGAGAGAGAGAGAGAGAGAGAGAGAGAGAGAGAGAGAGAGAGAGAGAGAGAGAAAAGTTCTTGCCTCATTAATGAATTGTTTATTTTTTTCAGTATTTAATTGACAAATTATCCTTTCAAATAATTAATTGATGAGTTACATAATTGTCCATTTAGAATTGTTGAATGGACTGAGTCAAGTTTGGTGCACTTTATATATTTCAAAACATGTTTTTTTTTTAATTTTAATGATGCATATAAATAATTTAAATGTTAATTTAATGAAATATTTCTATTTTTTCATTACCTCACCCTTGTTTTGACAAAAACGGGACCTTGCTGGATAATATCATGGAGAAACTATTTGTTCACAGTACATGGCTCAGTGAGGATCTGTGTAAAGGAGGAGATACTCAGAAATCTGTCTGCAGATTGTTACAACCCAGACTGGAAGTGGTGGGCTGTAATAAGAAAGGAGACCAAACAGAGGAGTGGGGGTTCAACAACTGATTTATTTAACAAAAGTAAGGATTTACTAAAGCAAGTTAGTGAACAGAAAATGGCCAGTGAGGACTCTCCACCACACAGGAGAGACCCAGTGAAAGCAGAAAAACAGTAGGCTTTGTAGGCAGCACCACACCCTGAGCCCAGGTGCCTCCAAGGCTGCTTAACCAGCTGCCTACAACAGAAGAAAAACACAATTAAACACAAATGAAAACCCAATGAGACGGTGGGGGCATCACAACACGTTCAGGACTACCCAAACACCAGTAATTCTTGACTGCACTGATCTGAGGTGTCAATGGCCATATTCCCCTCTCTTCCAGAGTCATATATTTTCCTCAAGTTCAACTGCACTCTGAAGAGGCTCATTTGGATTGTGCCACATAGGCCAGTGACCTTTGTCTCAGCACTGTATGCTGGAACTATCAGCGACCAACCTGGGAATCTGGTGTGTTGAAAATGCTACAACTAGAGATGGTCATCTTGGTAGACAGGGGTTTCTTCATTGATGACATTGTGCCCTGCAAAGTGTACAGGCCAGCTTTCCTTTCTGGCAAACCTCAAATGTCTGCATGTAAAGTTATAGAAACAGAAGCCATAACATCTCTGAGTGCATGTGGAGCGCTCCATTCATCTGGTCCAAGAACACAAGCATTTTGATTGTTATTCCCCTCCTTGCATTTGTAAACAATCAGCTATATGCTGTGGTTTTTCTCCTTACCAACTTTTAAAATAGCCCACTAGTGAAGGCCTGGGCAAAGAAGCCTGATGTCTGAGAACCTCAACATATGTACGGCAACCACACTGTATATTTACACACTTTCATAAAGAAACTGCATATCAAGCTTTCATTCAGATGACCTTCAACAGTGCTGCACCCTGCTGAGGGACATCCGAGTAAAACCTTGAGATGGCCATTTTCTGTTCACTAACTTGCTTTAGTAAATCCTTACTTTTGTTAAATAAATCAGTTGTTGAACCCCCACTCCTCTGTTTGGTCTCCTTTCTTATTACAGCCCACCACTTCCAGTCTGGGTTGTAACAATCTGCAGACAGATTTCTGAGTATCTCCTCCTTTACACAGATCCTCACTGAGCCATGTACTGTGAACAAATAGTTTCTCCATGATATTATCCAGCAAGGTCCCGTTTTTGTCAAAACAAGGGTGAGGTAATGAAAAAATAGAAATATTTCATTAAATTAACATTTAAATTATTTATATGCATCATTAAAATAAAAAAAAAACATGTTTTGAAATATATAAAGTGCACCAAACTTGACTCAGTCCATTCAACAATTCTAAATGGACAATTATGTAACTCATCAATTAATTATTTGAAAGGATAATTTGTCAATTAAATACTGAAAAAAATAAACAATTCATTAATGAGGCAAGAACTTTTCTCTCTCTCTCTCTCTCTCTCTCTCTCTCTCTCTCTCTCTCTCTCTCTCTCTCTCTCTCTCTCTCTGGAAGCCCCACTCTAAGGGAGTTTGCAGTGTATTAGTGAGTCATATATTGTACAACCACAGTCATAAAGTTTTCAATCAGTAGTTTTATTTCAGTATGTATTTTTCCAGTATCACAAAAAATGTAATTTTATATGGTTAAAACCATCTAGCTTATGTGCACTTTTTAAAACACTGCCCAGCAAACATTCGGACGTTTAATGACAGTTGAACGGTCACAACTGTAAAATACCTGAAATTAAGAAAAATCAACATGACATCTACTGCATTTTCCTTGCCCGGCCTCGAACCCGGATCCTCCGGGGCGAGAGTCACCCGCTCTTCCAACTGCGCTATGCCAGCAACTACTTGACTAGTAGACTTTTTTATATAGATAGGTAGAGGGTAAAGTGCGGGGTACACTAACCAATCAGAGGAAAGAGGAGATCTGCCACAGGCCACGCCTCCAGAGTGCCAAAACCCTTACAGCCGAGCGAGCAGGAGTCAGAAACCGAGCGCGCAGAGAGGCTGCCGAGCGCGCACAGAGGCTGCCGCGCGCGCACGTTTTCCTCTGCCGTGTGCTCGTTGACAACGCGCGCACGCAGGTTTGTCACTTGTGCACATCCTTGTGCGCTCACAGACACAGTTTGCTCCCTCTCAGTGCACAAATGACCTCTTGCCATGTATATTTCCGCTCGCGAGTCCCGTTCACACGCGCGCTGCCATGTATATTTTCGCTCGCGAGTCCCGTTCACACGCGCGCTGTGGACCCAATGCGCGTGCACGGGTTTTGACAGGGGTATGACGCGATACACAGCACCTCATTGACATCACATGCAACATTTTCCTTCCTGGGTTGCTCTCTAAGTCCTGCTGCCCTCGTTGTCAGCCCACGGACAGCAACGTGGTCTATGACTGTTGCTCAAATTTCATTGGATATTTCCACTCTTTGTCTTGCTCTTCCTCTTCATCCTCCTCTTTCTCTTTCTTGCCCTCCTCCTCATCCCCCGCCTCGCACACGCACCCGTTCTCGTCCTCTCACATGAATTCTTCTATCCGTTGTCACACGTTCTCATTCCCACCTTCAACAGCCTGTTTGCTCTCTGAACTTGCTTTTATTGGTCGTCACGTCGTTTGAAACAAGTGAAATCTGTTTTGACTGATTGTGTTCAATCAGTGACATTTGTGCTCTTGTCCTGGGTAAATGTGCCGCTTGTGTGCCGTTATGGACGACGTGTACATTAGAGTGCAGAATGTGTTTTAAGAATGAGAATGCGTTCAGAGTTCTGCTAAACCGTGTGAACTGGTTTAAGGTTTTGACGACAGGCCCAGCAGTTAGCTTAATGAGTTCAAGCAACTGAGAACTTTCTTCAGTCAACGGATTTTAGTGTTTTAGCAACTGAGAAAAACTGTAACAGTTAACAGTCTGTGCTTTTACGGCACATGTTCAACCTCGTCTGAAAAGGGGTCTTTTATGATGTTCCTCATTCACTTATGCACTGCTTTCTCTTGTACTTCAGCACTGAATATGCAGAACATTTCACTCATAAAACTGTCACCTTCCTAAAAAAAATACAATAATAAACAATGGCCATTTTTTGGGATTTTATTTTATTTTTTACCCATTTAGGTAAATAAGGTTAATACTCAAATTTAAGGTAACAAAGAAAATATATATTACAGAGATTAGAGTTACTAAGATATAAAGTGAAATGTTTATCCTTTGAATCTAAATAAAAAAATTTAAATTTGTTTTTATTTTAAAACATTTTTCAGGAAGATTAACTCATTAGAGTCCACATCTGAGAGAAAGCAAATGCACAAACCGTTGTATTCTACCATCCCCAGATCATTTTTTAAAGTTTCTCAGTTGTCTTTATCTTCCTCAGGTGGGATCAGTTTGAGCTTTAATCAGATTTAGGGACTAAAATGTTTGTTCTATGGTTGACCAAAGTGGTAGGGTGTTTCTAACACACCAAGAGTCACGTGAAGGAGTTATTATCCTGTTTTATTCACAAATATTTTAGCATGAATTTTTATTGTAAAATACATTTATAACTGCCCTTTAATAAAAGACCTTTATTTGTAAAGCACCTGAGGGTTCTACAACCCCCCAAGGCACTTTTCAACACAATCAGTCATTCACACACTCTGTGTTCTGTTTTATCTTAATAATTTCTTCAGAATAAAAATTTTTTTCTTGCTAATAATTTCCTTTATTGATCTTTATGTTTTTTTCCAACAACACAAAACACGTAACAGCAACTTGAGCTTGAGGACTTTATTTTTTAAAGTAGAGGACATTATAAAGAATTCTTTCTGTCCTTGACAGATTCGATTGCTTCATGTCCGTTTAGTTGGAGGACATGGTGTTGCGGATCCAGGTGGTGAAGTTGCAGACCTTGGTGTAGACTCCTGGCTTGTTCCTCTGAGCGCAGCCATAACCCCAGGACACAATACCCTGCAGCTGACTGCCGCACACCACTGGGCCTCCAGAGTCACCCTGAAATACAAGAGACATGATCAGATGTGAGGGAAAAGTGTAGTTTGAGCACTTTAGGAAGCTGCTCTTCATCTCCTACCTGGCAGGAGTCCTTGCCTCCATCCAGGAATCCAGCACAGAACATGTTAGAGGTGATCTGTCCAGGGTAGGAGTTCCTGCAGCTGCTGTCACTCAGGATGGGAGCATCCAGACACCTCAGGTTGTCAGGATAGTAGCCTGAAACACCAAGAGACCACGCATCTCAACACTCTTTCCACTTTAACATGCATGGAACTTTCTGGCATTTTGGTATTTGACTGACTTCCACTGCTGCTGGTGTTGCCCCAGCCAGAGATCAGACAGTTGGTGCCAGCGCTGGCGCAGCTGGAGGGCAGGGACACGGTTTTGGCGTAGTTGTTCAGAGAGGCGGGCTTGTTCAGCTTGATCAGCATGATGTCATTGTCCAGGTTGTAGCTGTTGTAGCTGGGATGACGGATGACCATGGCAGAATCGATGAACTGCTCTGTGCCCTCGCTCACGGCAATGTTGTGCTCACCGAGTCTCACCTGGATACGACTGCAGGAGGAAGCGGGAGGGGAACATAGACTCAGCAACAAAAAGACCAAAGATTGTCCAAATGACACGAGCATGACAGGAAGAGAAGACATTTCCCTCACAAACACGAAAGTCCACTTTGTCCACTTACGACTTGTAGCAGTGAGCAGCAGACACCACCCAGGTGCTGGAGATCAGAGAGCCTCCACAGAAGTGGTAGCCAGCGTTCAGAGAGGCAATGTAGGGCACAGAGTTCTTCCTGCACTCGTAGCCTCCAACGATCTTGTCATCCTCAATGGGAGCAGCATCTGCAAAGCAGAGAGACAGATGTTAAACCTCGTCTTTAAAACGGTACAAAACAGACACACGACTGCAGAAACTCACAAGCTGCAGCCAGCAGAGCCAAGAGGATCAAGTACTTCATGACTGAGTTCTGCAATGAGCCAACGTGCAGATAGAGCAGATTCTATGGCTATATATGAAGGTAAAATCCCACAGCTTTTTTATTTCTCACGCTCTCTCGGGGATTTTTCCACGTTCCATGCTTGATTAAATATTATCCCACCTGGGAAACAGCATCATGGTTACAGATAAAAACACACAAACTTCCACGAATCCCTTCGTGTAGAATAGATTACAGAAACATTTTTTGATTGTTTTAATAAAAACCACTAAAGGACTTTATTTCCATAAACTAGATTGATTCTTATTTCTTTGCATTCTATTTGCAAATAAAAAACTTTGAAAAATTAGATGTAGTGTTTGTGTCTGTGTTTTATTAACAAATAAATCAGCTGCCGACTCTCAAGACAATTTTTCAAAATTTTTTTCTTTATTCTTATTTTGTTGTCTTTACTGTGAGAAATTTCAAGAAAAAGACATATTCGTGGCACACCTCACAGTAAATGTGAAAACTTTTTGATTTTGTTTCAGCTTTTTGATGAAGATTAACACACATTTCATTTCTTATCTTTTCGTGTTTAGCTCTGAAAACACTTTCAGGGTTTCATAGAACTTCTGATTTAGAATTTGGACCTTATCTGTATATTTCCTGATAGTGAGGAGAGAAAAACTCACATGATTTGAAGTCCAAAGAAAAGTTTTAATTTTCTTGAAATAGAATTATATCTTTTCCTAATTACATTGAAAAATGTAGGTTATTATTAGTACAAATGGAAGAGGTACATGGGATAGGCAGAGCAGGCTTTTAAACTGTAGAGCTGCATTTGTCAGATCCTATTTGGTTTTGTTTTTTTTAAATTAAAAAATCTAAATCTAAATTTATCTGTGATTTTATATGAAAAATAGAAAATGAAAAATTGGGTTAAAACAGTGCATTTCTCTGTAAAACTGCATCTATAAATTTAACTAACAAGTAATTAGAATTTATAGACTAACACTGAAAGTGAGAACAACTGTTTGGCCTAAAGTTACACAAATCAACACAGATTTTTTTTTTTTTTTAGATTTGACGCATATTTGCTAATATAGAAATCTAGACAGACAGTAGCCAAAGCAGAATGATTTTGCCATTCATGTATATATCAATATTCACATATATAGGATGGCTTGCCAGGCTAAATAATTACTGCATTTAAACTAAGGTTGCTCGATATTGGCTTTATGATACTCGATACACCAATATTGTACAACTCTTTATATCCAACACCGATATGAACCAATCCCGGTAAAAACTGATACCGATATTTGCAGGAGCTCCAAACCAAATTCCAAAAACGTTTATGTGTAGGTCACACCGTCCTGCATCTGATCAAAACAACCATTCTAACACAGTAGGACCTACCAACATCAATAACTCATCGGGGGTAGGGTGGAGGGGTATTCATAGGTAGTTTCAGCTCATTAAGCAACAATAAACAGCTACAATTTATAAGCATGACCCTCCCACACAGAGTAGAAGGGATTCTTAAAAAACACAGCAACAGCTCCTAAATGAATGGATAAGACAGAGCCATTTCTCCATTGGGGCCCTTAACCCCAGGATCTCCAACATCAACCAGAAGCTGTCAGAACTTTTCTCTCTCCCAGTGGTGGAGGAAATTTCCACCATCAATGAAACTGGTCAACTAGCCCAGCACAGGAAGAGCAAAACGACATCTATTGGGATCGCCACCAGATGACACCAACCAGATGGACATTCAAGAAACTTTACATCAGATCAGTCATATTTTGACATTTTGATAGAGAGGAGAAGAAGTTGAAGAGTTTGATGTCAGGCCAGGGGTTGGTAGCTGGGCTTTTACCCATGCAGCCCTGGCGGGCACAGCCCAAAAAGCAAGCAGTCTGATCCTCAGCTACAGAAGCCTAGCTCTCGGCACGTGGAATGTCACCTCTATGTTGGGAAAAGAGCCTGAGTTGGTGTGTGAGGTTGAGCGGTTCCGGCTAGATATAGTTGGATTCACCTCGACGCATGGCTCCAGTTCCCAAACCAGTTTCGTTGAGAGGGCTTGGACTTTCTACCACTCTGGAGTTGCTCCCGCTGAGAGGCACCAAGCAGGGGTGGGCTTACTTGTTGCCCCCCATCTTGGTGCCTGTATTTTGGGGTTTATCTCGGTGAATGAGAGGGTGGTCTCCCTTCGTCTATGTGTGAGGGGATAGGTCCAGAATCTGTGGTTTGTGCTTATCAATCAATCAATCAATCAATCAATCAATCAATCAATCAATCAATCAATCAATCAATCAATTTATTTATTCACAGAAGAGTAGTTTAAAAGACATTACAAACAGTCTGTGAACAGGACTCTGCAGAAGCAATTCAGGCTTATAGACAGGGGCCCTTTAGCCACATAAAAAACTACATGGTAACATTATAAACCCCCCAACCCCACCCTCCCCTCGAAACAGGAAAGTAAAAATGTAGCATTAAGATAAGATAAGATAAGATAAGATAAGATAAGATAAGATAAGATAAGATAAGATCACCTTTATTAGTCCCACAAGTGGGAAATTTGTTTCGTTTACAGCCAAAGTAAAAGTAAAAGTTATTATAGGGAGCCTAAGTTTTACATGAGACAATATTGCAATTATATATGAGACTCAAAAAGGGGCGATACAAGGTTAAAAGAGCCTCCAATTTATGAAATAGCCCTACACATTCAGACAACTTATCTGTTAAAAATAAATATGGTTTTTCAAATTAAGGTGTTCATCTAGTTGAATGAATTCCTAGAAATTTGATGTTTTCTACTCGCTCAGTTCCCTTATTATTCAATTTTAATTGTATCTGCTCAGTATTTATCCTATTTCTTTTAGCCCGGAATATCATAAATTTGGTTTTCATTATGTTGCCCATTAGTTTATTGCAATCAAACCAAGTATGTACTTTAGCCAATTCTTCATTTACAACCATTTCAAAAATATAAAAATCTTTATGTGCCAGGAATAGTGTTGTATTGTCAGCAAAAATTACCTTATGTAGGATTTGAGAAGAATTAACTATGTCATTTATGTATAGTATGAAGAGATGTGGTCCTAAGATTAAGCCCTGGTGGACTCCATAATTAATACTCAAAAGTTCAGAGTGATATTCATTAATTTTGATGAACTGACTCCGTCCTGTTAAATAACTGTTAAACCAAGCAATTGCATTCCCCCTCACTTCATAATGATGTAATTTTCTCAACAGTATATTAATATTTATTGCACTGAATTAGGGATGTCCCGATCCGATCACATGATCGGAAATCGGCCCCGATCACATGGTTTCAGAATGATCGGGACTTGGGCTTTACTTCCCGATCCAAGCCCCTATCCGGACTTGGCTACTGGGTTCAAGTTACAGGAGAGCAACTTGGTTCTCCTTAAAGGTTGTCAAGCTCCCCTGATGCCCTTAACTTACACACCCAGAAGAAGCACAAAAGAGATACAGTTTCTACCTTTATTATAGTATTTATATGGACCCAGAGTAGCTGGGATTTTTTTTTTATCAGAGATGCAGAGAGTTCATAACCTTTATGGACAGGATTTCTAGGCGCAGCCAAGGTGTGGAGGGCATCCGTTTTGGTGGCCTGAGGATCAGGCCTCTGCTTTTAGCAGATGATGTGGTCCTGTTGGCTTCATCAGAACGTGATCTTCAGCTTTCACTGGAGTGGTTCGCAGCCGAGTGTGAAGCAGCTGGGATGAGAATCAGCTCCTCTAAATCTGAGACCATGGTCTTGATTCGGAAAAGGGTAGAACGCCTTCTCCGGGTCAGGGACGAGGTCCTACCCCAAGTGGAAGAGTTTAAGTATCTCGGAGTCTTGTTCACGAGTGAGGGAAAACTGGAGTGTGAAATCGATAGGCGGATTGGTGCTGCATCTGCAGTGATGTAGGCGTTGTACCGATCTGTCGTGGTGAAGAGAGAGAGCTGAGTCAGAAGGCGAAGCTCTCGATTTACCGGTCGATCTACGTCCCGATCCTCACCTATGGTCATGAGCTTTGGGTAGTGACCGAAATAACGAGATCGCGGATACAAGCGGCCGAAATGAGTTTTCTCCGAAGAGTGGCTGGGCTCTTCCTTAGAGATAGGGTAGGAAGCTCTGTCATCTGGGAGAGGCTCGGAGCAGACCCGCTGCTCCTCCACATCGAGAGGAGCCAGTTGAGGTGGCTCGGGCATCTGGTCAGGATGCCTCCTGGACGCCTCCCTGGTGAGGTTTTCCGGGCACGTCCAACCGGGAGGAGACCTAAAGGTAGACCCAGGACACGGTGGAGGGACTATGCCTCTCACCTGGCCAGGGAACACCTTGGGACTCCCCCGGAGGAGCTGGCCCAAGTGGCTGGGGAGAGGGAAGTCTGGGCCTCTTGTCTTAGGCTACTGCCCCCGCGACCCGACTCTGGATAAGCGGATGAAAATGGATGGATGGATGGATGGATGGATGGATGGATGCAGAGAGCGGCAGGCAGACCGCTGATTATTCATGAACTCCAGCTGCGTTCTGCACACGGCCACAGTAACATTTTCCAAGTTTCTAAGTGGCGTCACCAAAAATATATAATTAACACACAGTCATTCGTGTCCGTTCATTTTCTCTCTGGTAAGTTCTGTCTGTATTTGAGCATGACGTGTGGACGCGCTGCAGCGCTCGTCACTGGCGCAGCCGGGCAGCGCAGCGCACACTCCGCTTTTTTTGCAGTCAATAGATCAATTTTATCTGCTAGTTAAAAAATTACTTGTGAGGTGAAAAAGATTTAAGTTGAAGTTTAATTGAAGTGCTATCTGTTTTTATATTACACTTTATATTTGCAATAAAGTCCAAAAGTGAAGAACTTATGTTATTTATTACATGATTGTTCTAGCTACGTCACAGTAGTGATCTGTTGTTAAAAATTAAAATAAAAAGGTAATTAAATAAAAAATAAGTAACATTCTGGAACTGTTTATTCCTTTTCTTTCTTTTTTTTATGTATCGAAAGTATCGGATCGGGACTCGGTATCTGCAGATTCTCAAAATCAAATGACTCGGACTCGAGGGCAAAAAAACCTGATCGGGACATCCCTATGTTGAATGCTTTACACAAGTCCAAGAAGATGCCAATTGCTG